TAATATAGTATATATATATATATATATATATATATAATATATATATATATATATATATATATATATATGTGTGTAAACTCTTTTTGTAAATATTAATAAATCACACTTAATCATCATTAATTAGTTTTCATTAATTTAAATTGTAAAAGAATATTATTGTCAAAAATAATACTATCAAATATTAATGTTAACTATATTTGTAAACATATTTAACTTTTATTAAATATATCATTTAAACATAACATTATTACAATTTAATTTTTATTCTGCAGTTTACTGCTGAATAATATGCAAAAAATTGTAAATTATTATATGCTTCGTTTTGATTAGTATATTTATAAACAAATTTAATAGCGTCATTAACACAATTTTTTTAATTGTAAATAAAATCTTACAAATAAGGTTCCATTTTCGGTAGAAGATACGTCTCAATAATTTTTGTCTCACGTGCTTTGTCAGATATGCTTTCATCTAGCGATATATCTGTCGGACCAAAAATTGTGGCCAATCCTGCGGTTCTCTTCTGTTGAAAATGCATTAGCTGTTCATTTAATTCTTCTTTTGCTCTAGAACGTGCTTTCCAAAATATCTATATAGAGAAATAATAAAAATTTGTAATCATTAAATTTGAGAAACAGAAACATTATGAATATTTATAACTATTAAGAACTATTCTTTAAGAAAACTATAGAAATTTTTATTTTACATTTTTATTACAATATCCCATAATAAAAATTTCTAGACATATATTACATATATTAATTTTTACATATATCAATGATATAATCTCTTTTATTTTATTTTTAGACATACCTTTCTAAGAATTTCTTCTTTATCAGATTCTTTCAAAAGAACATCATCAATTTCATTTGCGATATTCTCATCTACATTATGCAAACGTAATGGCTAAACAAAAAATATAATTATTATATTAACATTTTCATAAAAAGTGTTTATAGTAAAGTGTTTACATTTATATTGAAATTCATAAGTATAATTAGATATTAATTAAGTGCAAATATAAAAAATATATAATAAGTATAATAATAATATAAATATAAAATATAAATTAAAAGAAAAAACAAGAAATTAAATATAATTTATAAAAATATTTTTATCATGTATTGGATTACTTACCGCACCAGGTACTAGAAAACTAGAATGAATTTCATATGCCCATTTTTTCATCTCTTTGGCATTTCCCTCCTTATATAAATCGGTTACTAAATAAAATAACTACAAAGATATATATTATATTAATGTGAATACTTTACATAATTATTTTATTGTAAAAGCAATCGTATTTTAAAACAAAAATCTAATCTAAATAGATTTAATAAAAGGTTAAGAATAATTACACGTACCAAACTAGAAGGATCACTATTAGATAATACATAATTAATAAATACAGCAAGATGTGCATGATGTCCCCATAGTCTTGATAAAGATTGGAAAGGTCCATGATCTTCTAATTGACCCTAAAATATTAATAACTCACAAAATCATAATTCAAAGATTCTGAAAAGCGTTTTATACAGACTTGATAATAACTCACAATTTCTTGATCGCTAACATCATCTTCTTCCATTGACATAATTGGCTGTTGAAATGTTGGCAATCCAGGAATAACATCGGTCATAAGCGCTTGCTATTAAAAAAATTATATTTGTCATTTTAAATTGTTATACAAATAATATATAAAATCAATTATTTAAGATTTATTATATTGATGATAAAAAAAGATACATTTGTTTGCTTGTTCAATGTATGCATATATATGTGAAATAATAAATTTATTAATGTTATATTTTTAAAAATTTCTTTTATTGTAGTTATTACAATTGCACAAAAATTACATTTGTATACAAAAACTAATTCATTTTGACATAAACAAATTTATATAACTTTTTGTATTTAATATTATAATCTAGTATGATTAAAATAAAAGATCTAAACAATTTTAATAAATAAAATATAATGTTAAATATAGTAAGTGACAGTTGATAACAGAATAGATTTAAAAAGGATAAAATATTTACATCATTTAATGTAGATGAAAAAATATCTTGTCCTAAAATGGGAGCTGGATATGGTGGCGGGGGTGTCCCTGGTGGTGTAATATGTGATAATTCATTGATATCAATATTATTATGTCCAACATGTCCGGGAGGTAGCAAATCATTCATTGATTCAGAAGCAATTAAACGCCTGCTAGCTTCCGATGGAGATATTGTTGTTGTTCCCAATTGCTCTGGACTTGACTTTGTTCGTTGATGTTTACTAAGTGTGTTTAAAACACTCAAATTGGTATCTTGGGAAAACTGAAATGTAATTCATTATAAATTATTATAAATATC